CGAACACTCCACAGAGAATGAAGTCCCTTCTGTGTGCACAGAGTTGACGCCCAAGTTTCCTGTGGGGCTTCTCCAAGCATATCCATGTTTTAGCATATGAAGATGGACATCAGAAACATTCTCACTGCTGTTTCTTTCCTGGGCTGGTCCATGAATGGGTCTGAGTTGCTGCACCAGTTAAAGAGCCCAACTGCCTGCCGGACTCACTTAGCAGGAATTTGCCTTCATAAGGGCTATTCCTTCATTTCCAGGAGTGCTATACTTTATACTACCTCACACACACGCATATAGAAATACCTGTCTGCCGGAAGAGAGAAATTACATTAAAAATGTGAAAAGAAGGCTTGAACTTAGGAAGACTACTTTTGAAAGCTGACAAGGTACATGGAGGGTATTTATTTCTGCAATGGAAGTTAACTTACTAAGGACAGATTTGTTTCGAGAAAGAATTTCAAATATTGATTATTTAAAGCTTCTTTTACTAGACGAGAAAATGTATACCTTGGCTTACAATCTCCAAGATTCAACTACCTACCAACAGGAGAATTAGCAAATTTTACAAGATATTTATAAATCACAAACAAACCATGATCCTAGAAAATTATTCACTGGCTTCTCTATTTAGGGCAGGCTCCATGAGTTTATAGGGTGCAACTTTCCTCACTGACAGAGAATCTTGCTTTTAGTGTCTCAATACTAGAACAGATTGGCTACAAAAGCAGGTCCTAAAACAAGTGTGTTTTCTTGGGGATATTCACTGTTGACAAAGTTATTACACCAATAATGAATTTCCACACTGGTAAGGAACCCATACATGAAGAACAGTCAGAAGGAATAGAAATATTTCTTGTAGGGCAATCCCAGGATTTAGCGTTTTTGAAATCCACAAAACCAGAAAGATCCAAGGAAAAATTGAAGCTAAAGCATTTGGAAAATTTAATCAGAAATGGCTATCTGGGGGCACCTGGGTGGCTTAATTGGTTGAGCGTCCAACTCTTGATTTTGGTTCAGGTCATGGCCTCACGGTTGTGAGATGAAGCCCTGCATCGGGCTCTGAACTGGCTATGGAGCCTGCTTAAGATTCTCTCTCTCTCTCTCTCTCTCTCTCTCTCTCTCTCTCTCTCTCCCTCTACCCCTCTGCTCCCTTCTGTCTCTCTCTCAAAAAAAAAAAAAAAAAAGGAAAATGGCTGTTTGATTTCCATGAAGCTCCCACAAAAGAGGAAATTATCTGCATGAAAGAAAAGAAAAAGAGAAGCACGTTGTGATAGCTAAGATTTAAAAGATTGTTTTGGGGTGTCCTCAGAACCATCCATTTCCACAGACCAGGAACCAACTGTGGCTGAAGGCTATGGGCTTTATGGGGCCCCACACGTAAAGCAAACCCATGGGGCCCAAGTGGAATGGGGAAGTTTGAATTTGAGCACAAATGCAAAGTTCAGTCAGGTTTCAGATTAAGATCTGAAAGGACTGGGCTCCCTGGTCTAAATCCAAAACGACAGTCAGTGAATCCCAATGAAAGGACGGGCCCGTGGCCCTCAACCTGAGGTAGGCTGAAGTGACAGGGCACACCTCTGGGACCCTCACCTCACTGGATGGGCAGACATTGCTCTTCAGGTGCTTACAGGCATCTGAGTGATGTTCAGTTCCCCACACCCTTTCTCGACCTTCCTCCCCAGGCCTTCAGTATTCTCAGGATACCTGGGACTCTGAGACCCCTGTCCAAATGGCCCTGAGCCTTTCTCTCTGGCCTGCTGGGGTCTTTGTCACCTGACTAGAGTGCAGGCCACACTGGGTCCTCTCTGGCCGTGCCTAACCCTACTCCCTAGGCAAGGAGGGATGACGAGATCAGGAATCTGCTTCCTCCCACTTCCAACTCTGCAGCGGAGTCACCTCGTGGCGCCTCCAGGTGCTGCTCCCCCCACAACCTTCCCTGTCCTTCATTTCTGTTCACTCCAGACCCCCTGTACTCTTGAGTCTCTACATCTTTGATCACGGATTTCCCTTTCCTGCCTGGAGTCCCTTTTCTCCCATCGTCGGAAAATGCCAACCTACTCCAGCTCAACTGCGCCTCCCGACACTGGACGTGGACTTCTCTGTGCTCCTAAAGCACGTGGCACAGAGCATGGGCAGCACTTAGCATGGCAGGGGTTGTCCATAACGGGGTCCCCCCACAAGACAATGGCTCTGTTCAGGGTGAAGCTGTATCTTGGGGTTCTGGAGGGGTCCAGCCCAGCACTACTGCATACAGGGGCTCAGAAGTGCTTTCCAGGTGGCTGAGAGCAGGAAATCTACACTCAGCTCCCTGCAGCTTCGACTCATGTAATCATCTGGCCACCAAAATACCACAGGTCGGCCCTGGTGGTGTTTCTCTTCATATCCAGTGATGTTCATCTAACAATTCCTGTGCATTTTAAGTGTACCAGGTACCATGGTACGTGAAGGGGATAAAAAGAATCTTGCATTCCTGTGCTGAACTGTGCAATTTTGTTGTTCAATGCACCAGACACTGTACAAAAGGCTTCTTCATAAGGTTTACATCCTTATATTCTTGTGGGTAGGAAAACATAAAATTTGGCCCTTGACCTCAGGGAGGGCACCAGCAGGCCCGCTGTATCATATGCCTCTGACGCATAGAAGAGGTCCTCCTCATCCAAGCCTGGCTCCACCCCGCATGACATGCATGTGTGTGTGGACACCCCCGGCAGCAAGTTCAAGCTTCTCTACCTGGGTCTCTTCCCTCCAAGTGGCAGATCTGAGGAGGAGGCCCACACAGGCTTCAGCAGCAGGCACAGGCCATTTGAGCAGAGAATTCTGAACATCCATGTGCCTAGAGCAGGGTCATTAAGGGGTGGATGCTGACCTTGGCCCCTGGACTCCTTGCCGCTGTGATTTCTACAATGCAGGGCCCAGGGCAGGAGCTAACTGTAGTATTAGATACCAAGGGTGACAAAGCGCTAACCTGCAGGCCTGTGTCCACTCTTGCAAGGGAGTGTGTAAGGGGGATTTATCTGTTTTTGTCCTGTTTTGTCTTCATGCCCTCCCTGGGAATTGTATGATCATGGAGACAGAGGCCTTATGGGTAACCCCTGGCTCATGAAGAACAAGGTAAATGCACTCAGCTCTGCCTTTAGTTGGATTCAGAGGACCTGCGAGGGGAGATGGGGAGAAGGACTCTGCCAGCTGCAGGTGACGACACTGCCCTGGGAGGATGGACATTCGCACTGTTTGTGCCAAGAGTGGAAATCTCATGCCTCTGACTTTGAGGCATATGGGTGTTAATGGCTACAGGGGAATTCTGCATCGAACTCAGTGACTGGGGATCCTCAGCCTTGAGACAGGGGAGCCTCCTCGGTGCCTAAGGAGGCACCTGGCATCCATTTTAATTGCTCTGTGCATTTGACTCTTCTGAAAGGTAGGGAGGATTGCAAAGAGTCTACTTTCTCTGGCATTTTTAGAGAATGTCTTTGCTAAAAAAAGACTTCTCATGACTTTTCTTCAAGAAAAGGGTTCTGGGTGGGGGGGGGGCAAGTGGGGAAAGACCTGAAGAGTTGATTGCTTTCACCATAAAGGGAGTCAGGCTTAGGACAGCTTCTGGGTCCAGAGAGGCTAAATATCTTGTCAGAAGTCACACACAAAGCAAGGACAGCAGAGCTGGGCTCCAGTCTGACTCCAGAGTCCAGGGGGTGCCCACTAGCCTTCTCCAGGTGTGGACTGAAAAGTAAGGTCTTTGTTCCCTCCCCTTGAGTCATGGTGGGTTTGTAACTTGCAAGACAGTCTGGTGGAAATGGTGTGTGTGACTTCCAAGGCTAGGGCATTAAAGGCCATGGGGTTTCCTCCTTCTCCAAGCCCTGGGCCACACAGAGCCATGCTGCGGAGGCCACACAGAGGTGCTGTGGTCAACATCCCAGCTGAGCCAGTCCTTTGGCCACCCCAGCCTGGACACCAGACATGAGAATGGAGAAACCCTCTTGGGAAGAGTCCTCCAGCACCAGGGGCTCTGGCCCCAGCCAGAAGCGTGGCTGCCAGCCATGTGAATTACTCCATCTCAGGCCCAGATCCTGTGGTACGACATTCCCTCCATGCCCTTTCTGAACTACTGACTCACAGAACGCATGAGCAACTAGGACGGTTATTGAGTATGTCAGTAAATTTGGAGAATTTGTTTCACAGCTGTAAATAAGCAAAATGGAATCAAGAGCATTCAGGGGGAGAATGCATAGGGACAGGAAAGCACGGTGACATACCTAGTCCAGAATTTGGCCTGTGTCTTTCTGATTCTGGGGCCACTCTTAGATAGATTTTCACACACACAGCCTCCCCAAACTCTCCAAGTGGGGACAAGGAAAACCGAAGGCCTTCAATCCACTGGGTCTACTGAGGAAGAATTAGGGCGGTGGTGTCCATTAAGAACCAGAACACACTCTTATAGATCGCCTACTATACGCCAGATGCTACACCAGTGCCATTATATCTAATCCATTACCATTAGTTTAACAACTACTTTGTCCCTACCAGGTGCCAGAAACAGATCTGAGAATGAAGCCACGTATAAAACAAAGTCGCAGTTCTCCTGGAGCTTACGTGTGAGTGAGGTTGATGGGCAATAAACAAACAATAATAACATATTATGTCTGATAGTGATCAGTGGTATGGAGGAAAAAGAAAGCCTGGTAAGAGGAAAGACAATGGCCTTTTAGAAAGGCTGGATAGGAAAGGGTTCCCAAGAGGGTGACATTTGAGCAGAGAGAGAAGCAAGGTTAAATTGCAGAGAGCAAGTCTGGTTGCCCTCAGAGCCCATGGTTTGGGCTCTGATATCAAGGAAAGAATACATACAGTGTCTTCCAGCTTCCGAATCTGTGGCCTCCTATAGAGGGCACATTTAGAGCCAGTCCTCCACAGGCCTCAGGGGACGTGCACCATGTATGCAACTTACTGTCCACCCACCACCAGCCAGGCCTCCCCTCTGGACCTCCAGGCAGAGCCCCAAGAGGGGTACTTACGCAGAGCACGTGGAGAACCACCGCCCCCTGTCTTCGATCCTCGTTGGTGAAGATGTCATTGGGGAATTCGTGCAGGGCTAAAGAATGGAGAGAGAAAACCAGCTCAGAACAGATGACAATGTTTTCAGTGCTGGAGTTCTGGGATGGCATCACCAGCCCTCGTTTTCATATGGAATCAATGAACTTGGATGAAAAAAAAATTACATCTTTATGTTCACACATCTCTTATCTGGAATTGAGTGTTTCCTTCAGATAAGAAGGTAGGCAGCAAACCACAGGAATGTGAGAAGCACCGGGGACTCTGCCCCCAACAGATATTTTCATGATACATTATACTATTATAGTCAAAGAAGCTCTCACTCATCACTTCAACATCTGGGTAGTTTGTAGATGGCCCCTTGTGATTTAGAGGGTTAATGAGGAAATACAGCAGCTACCTTCATGCAAGTTTTATTTCCTAATACTCCAACAATTTCATTTCAGTATGATCAGTTTCCTTCTGTAAGCATATATATTTTATCACATGCATTGAAAAATGTTTTCCTGAGCAGAGGTCTGTAGGTGTCACTGCATCACCAAGGGGGCCCATGACACATAGAGCATTACAGCCCCTGCTCTAAATTGGTCCTCATTCCCCGCCATGACTGCCTTGGTTTGCCCGGGCCTTGGACCGGTTACAACTTTCTCCCTGCTTTCTCATTCCCTTTTCAAACTTGACCCACATTTGCCACTGCTGAACTGGACCATCAAGCACAGAGCAGCTCATGCCCCTCTCCCTGCTTCCAAAACTTCCCTGCTAGGAGATAAAAGCCCCAGTCTGTACACTGGCAGTTCCAAGCTGGTCTTGGCTGCTTCCCACGTGAGCTTTCTTCCCTTCTCCCGCCTTCTTACCTTTTGAGTGAATGTACTCATTCACTCAAACAATGACTGTGCAGGTACTGCACGCCAGGCTGTGCACAACAATTAGACAGCCAGCTTTGTCACATGGGCTCTCATACTCCCACCAGACAGGATAGGCTGCTGTTCCTTGAGCACACCTTGCGTTTGCTTTCTTTTTCTATCTTTATCTGCACAGATGATACCATTAGTCCGGGCTATCCCCACCCCCAACTGCTCACCCTCTCTCCTTCCTCTCATAAAATCCAATCAGCATCATGGCCAGGGCCTTCATAAGCCTCTCCTCTCTGGAGGATGTTATCAGATCAGGCTCCGTGGGAAACTGTGCACACCACACTGCCCTCGGCATCGTCTTCAGCAAATGCGGCTGGCTGATGCAAGTGACCTTTCTCTCAGAGCTCCACAAGCTCTCAGTCCTTCTCTAGCTCACAGGTAGAGAAATCATCACCAATCGATGGGAAAGATGTACAACGTGACACCTGCTTGCTGCTGGTCTTATTCTGGGTTTCCCAAAAAGTAGACTCTCAGTCAAGGGTTTCGGGGTGCATAGTTTGTTTGGAGGTGACTCCTGTACACGCTGTGAATGAGGAAGGTGATGAGACCAGGGAAGGAGGGGAGCCCAAAATGGTGACATTAATGAGCAAGCGGTGACTTCTCAGGACACCTGGGACCCAGTCCTGCTATAGACCTGGCTTGTTGAGACTGTGGCTTGTTGGCCAGGGGGTTTGCCCAAGACACAAGCCTTTAACTATCCCTTGAAAAAGTTCTCTCTGCTTCTAGGGTAGCACTGGATAAGCACATCGTGCAACTCTTGGCCAGTTGTCCAATCCTTCATGTGATGAAATGGGGGAGGCGAGGAAAGACAGGGATGTCATGATCCCCCTGAGTGATTTTCTAAACTAAAGCTGTTCCAAACAGGTTGCACTGAGTCCTCCTGATCAATGAATGGGAAAATGAGAGCAAGCCTGGAGGATTTCACCTTGAAGACCAAATGACACTACAATCTGGAAATTACCATGAGGGGACAAGGGTTCACAGATTAAGCCTGAAGTTCATCCATCTGGCCCTGGGCATTGCAAAGCCTCTAGCCACTCTACTGAGAGGCCTCTGTTCTAGCATCTTCCCTCTACAGGCCTAATGCCCCTGGCTAGCATGCTCTTGTCCAGTGAGCAGAGCTGGATGAAGCCCTCCAGCCTGATGAGAAATGCCTCTACTTCCTGAAACCTCTCTGTTGGCAACAGTGCCCACACAGGCTGGACCTGCAGAGACCTGGATTTTGCAGTCCCAAGTCATTTTTTTTAATGTTTATTTATTTATTTTGAGAGAGAGAGAGAGAGAGAGAGAGAGAGAGAGAGAGAGACAGAGACAGAGACAGAGAGATGGAGAGGAAGGGGCAGAGAGAGAGGGAAAGAGAATTCAAAGCAGGCTCTGCATGGTCAGTGTGGAGCCCACGTGGGGTTTGATACCATGAACCCCGAGACCATGACCTGAGTTGAAATCAAGAGCTGGACACTTAACCAACAGAGTTGTCCAGGCATCCCAGCCCCCACTCATTTCTTGTCTGTCCTTCCTTCCCCACCCTCTGGCTCTCCCTGTGCACATAGGATGTCTTACACTCTTAAGAGATGCTTTCTAATGCTTTTCTCTTTTGAACTGAACTTTCAATGCAAGTGAATAAATTATAGTCCAAATAACCATCCCAAGGCTTTCACATTTCCGTCCCCTCCCCATGTTGTTCAGTGTGGATTGGAAATCATGAGAAATGTCCTTTTCTGTCCACCTCCTAAACCTAGGAAATTGACAACTTCCACAGGCCACCACTGGTGGGTAGGGGCACAAAGTTAAGGAGAGGAAAGGCCCTGCAGGGCAGGCCTCTCCCACACCCCTCTCAGCACCCAGGGCCAGAGACTTTCCAGCACTGACTGATCCCCATGTTTACCTGGACTTGCCCAGACATTGTGTCCCAATCTCTGGTTCTGAAGAAACAACAACTACCTTCGCATCTGATGTTCCTTTGTTTTGTACAGACATTTAAGTGCCCTTGGGAGGTGGGGCTTGGGATGGGCTGGCTGGTGATGGACTGAGATGGGCTGATGAAGGCTCTGGTGGGCAGTGGCCATGACAAACCTGGGCAGAATGACACATTCACTGAGCACCTGCTCCTGGCAAGAACTATGCCTTGTACTTTACACCCACTATCCATTTTTGTCCTCCCAGAAAGCTATTATTGCCATTTTATAGACAAGGAACCCAAGGGACAGAGGATTAGATTCCAACTCGAAGACCCACAGCTGGAAAGCTGCAGAGCAGGGCCACCCACACAGCAAATGCAGGCCTGGTAACACCCCTCTCTGCTGTTATCCAGCTACTGGCATCTATTTGCAATCTCACTCTGCTAGGTGGCCTCTTCCTTCATGGGACTTCCTCCAAGTAGGGGGTCTGACCAGATCCATATTCTGCCACCACACACCAGAGGGAAAAGCTAGGCTTCTTTTTTTTCCTTTACATTTCTCTATGTAGTTGCAAATGGGGCTTTTCCACACTGGCCAGTTCAGGGTTTAAATGTGCCATCCTATTGCCCTTCTGCCCCCAGAGGACGAGAGACAGGACTAGTATGCTAAGTTACTGTATGGATCACAACAGCTATTACCCTCGAGAAACTTTAGCCACCTGTGATGGGTGCCTTGTAAAGCAATCATGCGTAGGGACCACTTATCATCAATGAGGAGTAGAGGTGGGTACAGACGTAGGACTGAGGGGTGTTCCATCACTGACATGTTGAAGCCAGCTACTTCTTTACTTCCTGCCCTTCAGGCTTCCTATATGAGGAGTAATGTGGTTTTGAGCAAAAATGGGGCTAAGGGCAGCATGTGAGGGAGTGAAGACACTGGAGAGTTCCCACCAGTCTGCATCTACAAGGTGTCCACACTTGTGCCGGCTCTGGCCTCCCTGCTTCTCTGCTGCTTTATCCATGAGCTAACCCAGGGCCCACGGTATGACTCGATCAAGGGTACCACGTCAGTAAGTGATACACTGTGTTTTGAGTCCTGGCATTTTCCTTGGCACTCAACAAACAGCAAGTGGATGTGTAATGACCATGAATGAATGGACCCACTAGGCTTCATGTTTTGGTTGGGGAAGGGTCTTGGCAGAAGTCTAGATGCCCAGTCAACCCTGGGACCTGGCTAGAGCTCTTGGAGAAGACTGTGCTGGACGCTGTGTCCTTGGATAAGGTGACCCACAGAGCCCAGTGCTGGCTCAGGAAGGGCTGAGGCGCTGTCCGAAGTCCTGGCCAAGCAGGCCACTGTCAGACTTCCTCATGAATCTGGATGTGGCTGGCTGGTCAGCGGCAGAAATAAGGATGGGTGTGATGAGAGGCAGTGGGAAAGGCAGAAAAGAGTCAATTCAAACAACAAACAACAAACAACAACAAAATTCTTAATTGGTGGTTCACAGCAATGTGGAAAAAATAACCAGGGTAAGTATTCTCCCAGGAAGCTTCTCCTGACATGGGTCCCTCTCTGGCTATTTATTCACTATTGTGCATCCACGAAAACATGTACTGGGCTGGTGATGAGATATAATAGTGATTTCAAAGAGCTAGCACACATTTTTTTTAAGTAGCAGTGATTTCAAAGAGCTAACACACACCCAACACAGCCCAACACAGGGCTTGAACTCAAAACTGTGAGATCAAGACCTGAGCTGAGATCAAGAGTCAGACGCTTAACTGATTGAGCCACCTAGGCACCCCAAGCTCGTGCACAATTTGCAAAGAATACATAGATTTTATTTTACTCTTATAGCTGCATTGTCTTTTGACAAAAGACACAAGAAAAGATTTCTTTGAAAATCTGAGCTGGAAGCCCGGGATCTCCTCTTTACCTCCATGCAATGAGCCTTCCTTCATAGTCACATATGCCTATATCTGAGGCTGTCTCAGGAGCCGACCCTGAGACAAAGATATGAATGCCAGCAGTTTATTTGGGAAGTGATCCCATGATGGGACAGGAGGGAGATAAGTCAGAGAAGGGGCTGATAAAGTAGGCTCAGACTTGCTGGGGCCCCTGTGAGAGATAGTGTAGAATATGCCTCAGCATTGTCCATGGATGGTCATCCATCACTGTTGAAGGCTGCCCTAAACACTTTAGGGCTGAACCTTAACTTTTCTCAGCTCTAC